AGGGAGCAATGGACACTGTGTAGGGACCATGTCAATCGGAACACAGTTCATGCACGGAGCTCACTTCTAACGAGATTATGATCTGAATCAGGTATGTTAACAGAGAGACGTGCAAAACATGCAGAGCGGGGGCAAAACAAAATCAAGACTTTGTAAAAGAGCATAATAGGACCCCTTTAAAAACATGTTGAACAGGGGTTGAATAGTTATGATATACCTGTAAAAAGTGAAAAAGGAAATATACAACTAATCTGTTAGTTCTAATCTGCTTGTTAATCATCTGTTAATAATCTCATAATAAAATATTGAATTAAATTATTATTAAACTGTTGCAGTATGTGTGGGGTTGAATCATTTTAACTGAAATTTTATATATGTGTATATATATATAAACACACACATAGATAGATAACTTCCACATTAAAACAGTATAAATTGTACAAATATACTGATTGAGAGAAGGGAAACATAGTAATATATATACACACACACGCACACACACAAAAGCAGATATGCTCATTTCATTGATACTTTTTCCTCTCTCCCATAGATTGCTGTTACAGTGGCAGGTCTGGCGGGTAAAGAGCCGGTGCAGTGCAGTCGTGATGTCATGATATGCCCAGATTCAAGCCTAGAGGATGCCCGCAAACAGGTTTGGTTTTAACCGGCTCCTCATAAGTTCAAGTTGACTAGAACTAATTTGTGCTGAATGAAGTTAAAGCTGAAGGTGAATGGAGTGCTGTCTCCATCCACTGGCCAAATAGTGCACTGCCAATAAAACTTGATGAAACTAGACTTCTATAAATATGTTCAATTTATCACATCCAAAACCTTGATGCCAACATATGCACATCAGCTATAGAAACGAAACATCCTTGATTGTCAAACATTATCAAAACACCCCTGTTTGCAACTTAATGCAGATGAATGTCATTTTCCTGACAGGGTCCGTATGATGTGGTACTTCTGCCTGGAGGTTTGCTTGGAGCTCAAAACCTTTCTGAGGTACGACTTTGCTTTAATTATTTGTGTTTTACAGTTGAACGGATTCCATAGGAGAGCTCTCACGCCATGAGCATCTTGCATAACATTATGCTGCGTCCCTCGAATAAATAAAAAACATCTTTGCGTCATCTGCTGAGGTTAGAAATGCACTCGTATTGTGAAATGCAAACATGGCATAATTGTGTAAATTGAAGAGGTGTTGTGACGGTGATTTCAGTAATGGCATGTTGTATGTGTGTGTGTGTGTGTGGGTGTGTGTGTGTGTGTGTGTGTGTGTGTGTGTGTGTTGTAGTCTCCCGTTGTGAAAGAGGTGTTGAAGGACCAGGAGGGCAGGAAGGGTCTGATCGCTGCAATCTGTGCAGGTAATCTTCATATCGTGACCTCTGTGCACATATTAACCTTTCCCTAGATGAACAGCATTTATTTAAACTCTTTCAGCGCTGCTCCATTAGGCAAACTGTCAGCAAAGAGAAGCCATATATTACCTTTTTCCTCCAGTATGAATTTCCCAGAGGGCCTTTGGTAATTTTTTTCCCCAGTGGGCCTTTGCCCCCGTTTGTACACCTGAACCGTCTGGATAATTTCTGGAAGAATCTTTCCGATGTGTGGCATGTCAATATGATGCTCATGGCTCAATGAATTATAATTATGACTGCAGATCTGTAAAACTACAAATCTGAAATACAAATTATGAGGATAATGAGTTGAAATAATTGCCAGTAAGCACGTCCGTCTTCATTTGTGGGCGTATTGAACGCAGAGATGTGTGCTATCAGCTTTGCCGTTCAAGGGCTCGTGAAGGACGTGGTGAATGAGGACAGTGAGCCCATGTGGCCGTAGAGAGCAGAGGAGAGCGGAAGGCGTCCCAGAAAACGGCAGATGTCCCCATAGGGATCTCTAATGAACAGGAAATGGCTTCTTATAGTGCCGTGGAGTACCTTCAAAACCGAGTCTGTGTCCGTAGATTCAGAATGCACGATCAGATTGTCAAAAATAAATTAGCATCCGTAATTTCTTGGGTAATTACACTGGCAAACTTGAAATCCTTATCCATGTCTAATTAGCTTTGCATATGCATACGCTGGTGTACTCCCTAAAAGTTGACCGACTAAACTTCTAGTGGCCTTTTAACATTAGTGAAAAACATTCAGGGTAATTCTAGTTAACTAAAACCATAAAAAATGAAATAATAATTTTATTTTAATTCATCTCTCTCTCTCTCTCTCTCTCTCTCTCTCTATATATATATAATTAGTGCTGTCAGAACGATTAATCGCATCCAAAATAAAGGTTTTTGTTTACATAATATATGTATGTGTACTTTTTTTATGTATATATTTATTTATTATGTATATATAAATGCACACATACAGTATATATTTTGAAAATATTTACATGTATATACATTTTATATATTTATATCATTATATTTTATATTATAGATAAATATATTTAATATATAAACATATTTTTCTTAAATATATACATGCATATGTTTGTATATACATAATAAATATACACAGTACACATACATATTAGGGATGGGAAGATTCCCCGATTCGCTTGGTGCATCGGCATAAAAAGTTAACGATGCGATGCAAAAGTTGGCATTTGTATCGTGATCATGGTCGTGATGCATCGTTTCTAACATATTTGCATCGGTAAAAATCGATTCATTTATATATAATTACTAGTGGATGCGCATCATGCGCTATACACTTTTATTATTTAGAAAGTGACCAATAATCTGTGACCAATATTTTATATGTAGATGGATTTCTTCTCTCTAAACTGTTTCTCAAGCGCGCTCTCATCACCGCTGCTGCTGCATGAATATGACGCGAGGAAAAACTGGGATTAAAGTCCAAAACCTGACTTTAAATTACCTAACAAATCAACCGGGGCTAAAGCGGTTCCATAAATGACTAATTAAGTTCACACAATCTCACTAATTTGTGCACGCTTATTCTTAAGCAGCCCTTAATGTCGATCATGGATAAATGAGTGACGTATACGCGCGAGAGATCACTTCCGGCGCTTGCATAAACTACGCCAGAGCGTGTACACCTCACACACCGGATGCCGTGCGCGAGCTCAAAGACAGTTGGACATAGTGGTGTATTAGAGGTAAATTTTTCATCTGTAAATGTTAGAAAGTCATGCAAATATATCCATTTTCCTGTCAGGAGTGGGCGAGGCACACGAGAGAAACGAGCGCTAAACAGACAGAGCGCAATCGAATAGAAGCGCAATAATTCTGAGTAAAATATACATTTTGCTATAATTGTTTTTGGACATTAAATGTGTCTTTTGTAGAATTTTAAACCTACATATAAAGTGTATTTTTATGATAGCAGTAACGGTAAGTGGACTATTGTAATAGGAAAATCAAATGTTAGCTACAGGCTACAGTACTAATTACTAAGCTCAAATTAGTTAATATATGTTTATTATAGCAGTTAAAATTTAGTCATTTTCTTTATTATTTATTTTCATTTTTAATTCAGTGATTTTAACTTTTAATTTAGTTATTTTAATGCTTTAAAGAGCAATTTTAGATTGTAATGTTCTGCTATCTGTTCTGCAAACTATAAAAGGTACAGCTGTAATAAAACCAGAGAGAAAGGCTGCATGGCTAGAAACCATAAAAAGTCAAATAATAGTATGTGAGACAGTGATATCATTATGTTCCTATTGGTCAGTAGAGCAGCTTAGCTTAGCCTGACAGTTAGCCTGCTTTAGACCAGGTTAGTTTCCCAGCATAAGTTGCCACAGTGACTAGCTTGATCTAGGCCTATGTTAAATTTGCTTTATGGAACCAAATAATTTGACAATGAGTCAGACTAACTCAAATAAGCCTGGATTAGTTGGTTAACTTGTTTTATGAAACAGGCCTCGAGGCATTAAAATTGATCATATTTTTTCCATTGCATCATATTGCATCGAATCACATTGTGTTGAATCGAATCGAATAGAAATCGGATCGCATCGCATCCTTCATATGTATCTTTAATGTATCGTATCGTATCGTATCGGCCTCAGTCATGGAGATGCACATCCCTAATACATATATTATGTAAACAAAACTTATTTTGGATGCGATTAATCGTGATTAATTGTTTGACAGCACCTATATATATATATGAACCTTTTTTGTAAACCCTGAAGTATACACATTTAATAAAAATAATAATAAAATGACAAACACTTAACAAAATTGCTAAAACTTTAACTAAAATTAAAATAATAAAACAAAAAAAAATTTAAAATATTAATAAAAACTATAATAGTACTCAGTAATACTTAAATATCACTGATGACATCTGCTGACCAGGGGCATATACCTTTCTGTCCAATAAAGTTTTCTAGAATAGAAATGTCTTCTTTTTCTAATGCCACCTGCCAATGACTAGCCATAGAGAGAAGAGAACCATGGTTTTGAAGGGTTATGATATAACCAAAGGCTAGTGGCTACAAATAATAACAATAAT